GCGGAGGGCCGTAAGCGACAAGAAAAATGGGACGAGTGGGGGGTGGAGGGGGGGGGAGCTCAGCTCCTCTGGCGCCTCCGGGGTTAATTCCGTACTGCCATACCGAAGTCTCTCCCCGTCCCACTGCACAGCATTTCTTCTGTGATTTTTGGGAAGCCTCCATCAGGTATTGACTTCTTCAGGAAGGCGCTAACAAGTTCACAGCAGCTTGTCACACTCTGGGAGCTGGTGTTAAAAGACGTGAAGCTCCGAGTGATGAGAGAAGCTGCAGGAGCTTCGGTTACGGTTGAGGATGAGGCAGACTTACGTCGAAAGGCACCGAATCTGTGATCATATTATGAACGTTTTAATTTGATTCCTTTTGGGAGGACAACTCTTTCAATCTATTTTAGATATGATTAAATTTGCTCGCATTAACAGATGGCAAAATATAGATGTGTAAGTCTTTATGTGTGTAGTTGATGACCTTTTAACCTTTTGGTTTCTCTTTGCCGTGCACAGGGTTGGCAGCAACATTGCACAGATTTAATTTTAGCTCGCTGACTGCATAGGAATCAGCACCATTGCGTTGTTCAACCAAGTGTATATTCCTGCAAAAAAGAAGCTTCTGAGGTTTAATTAGTCATTGTGGTTAATGGATTAGGACATAATATTTCATTTGTTTCAGATTTTGAGCCGTGATTAGGCCCACTATGTCAGTAAAAGTCGTGTTTTATTTTGTTTGTCCTAGTTTTGTTTGTTTTTGGTCAGTTATTTGCTAATACATTTTTTTATTGATCATCAATTTTTATCAAAAGTTACAATTTAATTGAGCATTTTCAATTAGTTGTCAAATCTTCCTTGTGTGATACAATTAGGTCCCTGAAAATGAAACCTTTTCGGTCAGTTATCAGTTCTGGCTGATTTATGACTGAAAAATTCAAAATTAAATTTCCAACATCAAACTCGGGGTTAAACAGGTAAGGTTAATCTCACTGATGCATAACTTGAATGATTCTAAATGAAGTCAAGATCTGTTAAAAGTCTACTTTAGTGTAACGCCGTCTGATCAGCTTGATTTTTTTAGCCTCTTTCAACAATGCACTCAGAGCTTGATTAAACTGTTGAAATATAATTTGTGAAATCCTGTAGGAGAAATATATCTTGCATTGCTGTCTCCTGCAGGTTTAAACTGTATTTGTTGAAGAAATGCCTTGTTGGACAACATCTTTAGAGTTAAGTCCCATTAATTCTCCAGTAAGTCTTGCATCCTGCTTGTAAACAACCACGCCTTCATGATTTGACTTGTCAATTTGATTTGTGAATGTGCTATTCAGATGTTGGCCAGAAACGTTACAAGTCATTGTTCAGGTAGCAGGTGGCTTTGCTCCAGTTTGTTGGTGGCCAGCCCTCTAAAACGGGAGTCATTTTTCATTGATAAGTTGGGGTTTATTATTGGGTGAATCGAACAACTCAGTGAAACAAAAAATGATCAATGGTGTCTTATCTGCCCCCTTTACTGACTACACCTGAAAAAAATCCTGTAAAAGGAGAACTCACTTATGATTAAAAAAAAAAAAAGTCCTGCAAGAGACAATCTATTTTGACGAAACTGAGCAAGGAAAGATCAAAGTTGTATCCCAGTGGCCGGAATTCAACAGTCTGCACTTTTTATCTGCAAGAAATAAATATCTTTTACTTTCCCCCTCCAGGTGTCTGAAATGTACAACAAAGAGTTTATGATGAGTATTACAGAAATCGCGTAGGCACCACCGTTTCTTGCCAGCCTCCTGCTGAGATAAGAGAGCTGCTCTTAGGGCACAAGTATAAATGTTTCCATGCTTTCTGATCCTCCCTTGCAGGAATTTTTGATTTTATAATGTGGTGCACTTGAGGTTATGGCAGGTTATAAAACTTCCCATTTGCAGTGAATTTTCATAGATTTGAATATAAGTTCTTTTTTTTTTTGCAATAGTGTCAAAAATATAAATACTGACTCAAATACAAAGACAACATACATATGTTTGAATGTTCTTACATTTACATTACATGTACAGGCTGCAGAGAAATTGAGAGACGTTATATCAAGCAACTAATTTTGACATAACTCTGGCAGTATTTAGATTATTTAGCTATTTGAACACTCATCAGAATTGGTAGAGGTAATTTAAATAGTTATATTTTCTGGTGCATAGCCAGTGTTTAAACATTGCCTACACGTATCCTTACGCAAAACTAAATGATTGCAATGCTTACATTCAAGATGGACAAAAACTGGCCACTTTAGCCTTAACGAATAATGGACTGAGAACGTTTGGACCTTCAAAACCAGCAGAAATGTGTATTCTGTCTCATATTTGTGGCTCAAGATAATCCTGTCTCAGAGAAGTGTGTTGACTTCATGCCAGCCGATTGACCTGACCTGCATTGTCAACTGCGGTACCTTATATAGACAGGTGTGTGCCTTTCCTAATCAAGTCCACTCAATTGAATTTCAACTCCATTTTGGAGCTGCGAATACTTGTGTAAAAGTATTTTCTTGGTTTTTACTATTTTTGATAAATTTGCAAAAAAAAAAAAAAAATACAAATAAAAAATACTCAAAAACATCTCCCTTTCTGCCATAATGGGATATTCATGTGCAAAATTTTGAGCAAAGATACTAATATGTAATAAGTTTCTGATGTAACAAGATCTGGACAAAGTAAAGTGCTTTGAATACTTTCCAGGTAACCTTTTGATGTCAGTTTTAATTGTTTATTCTGTAAACACTTTTAGATTAATTTTAAAGTCAAACTGTGCAGCTTCATTTGAAAAAGAAAGTGTGAAACCTCCAAGTATTTTAATATGATAGATCCCACACACAACTATTTCTGATGTTTATGCACTTGAACAGAACTCATCAGTCTGTGCCTAGTTTGTACAAAAAAAACAAACAAAAAAAAAAAACCCACAGAGGACTGCGGATCATTGTTGAATGCATGTGACTGCAGGGAACACTCACTTTGGCTCGCCTCTTTGTGAAACCGGGGAAGTCCCAAGGCTTATCGCTGGTGGTCATCATTAAAGCCTCCGGCGGTGCCATGTCTTTGTGTGTTTCATTTCAGCATTTGCTTTCTAAATTAAGAGCTGATTGTACTAACAGCTGTGATCTAAGTAACCCGATAGGTTCAGAAGAGGACATGACAAGTGAGCAAATATGTCCCTGTCAGATCCTCTGCCTCGTTCTCCCTCACACAAACAACCAGTAGCCAGTTATGGTAAAGAATCCACATTCACATTCAGGTCTTTTTTTGGTCATTAAACCCCACAGACAAACTGACCGAGTATGAAGCGATCAGGCGCCGCTGCTCCTATGGCTTCTATGTTCAATTGTGCCAATAGTATTTTACAAACGGTGCTTATCAAGAGGCTTTGGGTGAACTAAAACCTCAGATTACAAACTCTTGATGTCAACAAAAGTGTCATCCAAAGTCTGCCTCACTTAAACCCATTGTTGTTCTAATGTTCTGTTGGATGCTTTGAACGGGCATCATAAAATTCACACTAGTCAGGTGAATCTTGCTCATGTTTTATGCTTTTTTTTTATTATTATTTTTTTTACTTTTCTTTCAGAGGTGGAAGAATTTGATTCTGTCCTAAGAGACAGATCTCATATTGATGAGACACTGCGGCTTGCAGCTGAGGAAAAAGCAGCAGACTATGCCGGTGAGGAACACAATGTTTTTTTGTTGTTGTTGTTGTTTTTTCATCATCTTGCGCTGATCAGAGGACTGATTAGTTTAACAGAGGTGCTTTTAGACAGTCTTAGAAACTACATTATAGGAAAACATAAGCGTGTTCATTGAGTGCAAATCTCTAGATTGTTGAACAAAAATTTGCGGCAATGTTTTGTTCCTATGTAGATATTCCTTTTGTAAGCCCTTCCTCGGACACTGGTCCACTATGTTCTGCTCTCTTACCTCGTTTTCCAGCGGCTATACAGAAGTTGCGGAAGATCTACCATACGTCCATCAAACCAATGGAGCAGGCCTACAAGTACAACGAGCTGAGGCAGCATGAGATTTCAGGTATCACTCAAACCGAGTGTTCAGGTTGTCTTCGCTTTATCTGTTGTGTGGATTCTACTGATTAACATTTTTTATGCACACTTTTTCGACACTGTCCAATTAGGTTTAGACAGTTTCTTTTTTTTCTTCCAGTGCCTTGCGAAAGTACAGACAGACCTTTCCCACATTTAGTTGTCACAACCACAAACTTCAATCTATTTCATAGGGAATTCATCAGATGAACCAACACATAGTTGGACCGAAGGAAGATTTTATATGATGTGTAATGTTTTTTTTTTGTTGTTGTTTTTTTTTTACAATTAAAATCCTGAAAAGTGTGGTGTGAACAAATAGCAAATATACTGTGGAAGAATGGCATAATGAAAGCCTCAACAAGCCAAGTGTAAAGGTTGCCAGAAGCCATTCATGGGACACAGAACAGAAGGTGCTCTGGTCAGATGAGATAAACACTGAGGTTTCTATGGTAACAAGGTATCTGTGGTTGAAAACTGGCAATGTGTATCATTCTGAAAACTGAACCAGAGGCTGTTTTCTGAGCTAGTCAAAAACATGGAGACTGTAGTCTTTGTCTTAATATTTCTTTGGGTGAAATTTCTGGTAAAAAAAAAAAAAAAAAAAAAAAAAAAAATCTTTGAACTTAGTACACCGAATGGATTTTGAGAAAACATCTTGAAAGTTGCAAAGGGCTTTATATTCTATGGAAATGAAAAGCTGTTTGCGTATTGTTCTGCTTTGCCACAGTGCAACTTAAACCAGACAATGGGAGGAGATTTGACTCACTTTGACTTTAGTGGACACCTGGCAACTGTGCTGGATTGACCTCAGTTGACATTTACGTTACAAACGAATCACTCTGCTGCTCGTTTGGAACACACCGAGACTATTCATAGATGGTGGTCTTGGTTTGTACCCTGGCACGATTGCTGTGTTCACACCTAGACAAACCGCACAACGAAGGGAAGCTAATCAGAGTTTGTTTTAAATGGAGGTCAAAATACCTCAGGTGTGAAAACACTAGAAAAGCTGTTGACTCAGGAATACAAATGCACCCCACACTTTTCAGACTTTTACTTGTTAAAAAAAAAAATCATTTTTCTTCACATTTATGCCCTGCTTTGAGTTGGTAGGAGACAGGAAATCTTTTTAGAATGAAATACAATAAATTTCACCCTCATTTTGCGTTCTAGTCTTGGTTTGCATGCCGACATTTAGTTTCCATCTACGTCTAAGAATGTCCTTTTTGTGAGAGACAGTAAATTCGCTTCATTGCCTGACCACATGAGCGCACCATGCATTTGTTGACAGACATGTTTGACGACTTGTAGGTCAAATATGCTAGCGTAAATTCCAGCCATGATCTCCAACTCATTCATGTACATCGACACTCTTCCCCCTCCCCACTGCTTGTAGAAACCTTACTCCCTTACTGAGCTCTCCTTCACTTCCTCTTACCTTCACTTCTCTGTCCTCCCCTCATCCCCATCTCCCCTCATCTAACAGCATACCCCGGACGAACCCTGGGTGACTCGGCCACAGGTGGGTGTGGGCAGGGCTTACCTGTGCATGGCACTGCCTGAAGAGCTAAGCCCCTACCTTTCACCCTTCACAAATTTGCTGCCTGTTGAGCTACAGTGTTGTGAAAACATTTGCCCCATTAGAAATTTAAACCACTTTTCCTTCTTCTTTTTTTTTTTGTTGTCCAATTTAAACAGTACCGATCAAATTTTAATGTCAAATTACCAAATTCTGAATTGTGATCAGCCACATTTTTCTGGTTTAGTTTTATTATTCACACCAAGGCTTGTTTACTGCAAGAAGAAGTAGACAAGATCTGAAGCAGAAACATATTTTGCCCCAATTTAGGTGAAATCCACTGCTGAAACAAAGAGCACACAGGATTCAAGTCTACAGCAGCCTATTTTATATTTACCTTTTTAAGACATTACTTAATTTTTAATGTCAAATATGTACATATACAGTATATAATGCATTTTGAGGTCTTTATTACTCAGTGCAGTAATTCATTTGGGAAATCTGGTCAAAATCACAATCATATATATGGCAAAATTCACATAAAACATATTTATAACTTTTTTGCTTGCTATAAAGTACATCATAAAATATTAGCTAAATGCTGTTGTGTCTCACAGAACAGCATTTAACTGGTTAACCTGCACACCAACTCAGCTGTTGACTGATGCCTTCAACACATGGTCATGAAGTACAGATATTTAGGAAATAATTGTAATTTTTTGTAATTTTGAAAGAATATTTTTATATACTTAATGGCAGTTGTTGCTGCCAAAGAAATAACAAATGGTCTGTTTGGTAATTGTTTTATTTTTTTACATAGTGTTAGGTTGGTTTGGATTGCTTTTTTAAAATCACTAAATAAAATATGTGCTGCATTTATCCAGGTTATCTATGTCTGACAACAATTTCTTTATGAAATGAAGAATTTCAGTGTGACAAAAAAAAAGCAAAAAACAAAATAAATTTGTATCCGGGACAATGCTTTTTCATGACACTGTAAATATTTTTTTTAAAAATGCTTCTCTTTGTATAAAACAAGATGTCCTGTATTGGATTGTCATCAGAACAATCTTTCATTTAAAGCTTCTGTCCACAGAATGCTGCCGTTTTTGGAAGCTATGCAAATCAAAATGGGGAGGACATTAAGTAAATAATAAACATTTTTCTACAGCTGCTTTGCTCTTTAATTTTGGGGGCTGGGAGAGAACCTTTGATTTGTGCAGGTAGTGTTAAAAGCATGGAGGGGATGTGCAGTTTCGGCTTTAACTTTGAAGAGCAGGGTCTGGGTGGTCTGTGTTCAGAGAGGGCTAAATACATTTTGCTCCTTATTTAGCTCCAGAACATCAAATCCCTGCATTACATTACTGTCTTCAAAAGTTTTTTGTTTTCTTTCATTTTTTTCTTCATGATTATAGGCTCATTTTATAAAGTCTCATTACAGACCATGTTACCTCACCACCGCTTAACCATTTCCACATAATAAATAACAGAATGCCTGGAGACACAACTTGCAGTGTTGAATCTGTTTCAAAATTTCTTATTCTCTTTTTATTTATGCTGTGGCTACATTTTTAAAAATATTTTTGTTGCTGCTAACACCTCTCAGCTGTGACTTCTGTGTGTGTTTTTGGCCCATTTTTAGTTGGTTTTTCTTGCCCGAACCTTAACTTTGCAGCCTCCATGTGCATGACTGAGGCTGACGGAGTTCCTCCTGTGCTCTTTAATAATGTATAAACCTCTTTTTCCTGAAAAACTTGGTATGCAGTGTGATGCATCAATACAGACAGAATGCAATACTTACTATGGTACCTTGCAAAAGTACTCAAATGCCTCCAGCTTCCTCACATTTTTAATGTTACATCCAGTCTCCGCAATGTATTTTATTGGGATTCTATGTAATAGACCAACACTGAACTGAAAGAAAAATTATTCATGGTTTTTAAAGATTTTTTCACATAAAAAATTAGCCTGCCTCTGTATTTAGCTGCTGTATCTACTCTGACACTCCCAATTATAATCCAGTGCAGTCAATTGCCTTCAGAAGTCTTTTGGTGTACATGTTAAATATTGTTTTAGAAAACCAACAGTGCAATCGCGCTGAACACTGACATATGTTTTTGGCAGCATCATGCTATGGGGGTTGAGTTTCTTCTACAAGGACAATGTAGCTAGCCAGAGTTGATGGGAAGACAGATGCAGTTAACTGCAGCGGAAAACTGGAATGAAACTGTTTGTTTGCGTTCCAGCAGGACAGTGATGCTATACCTACATCCAGAGCTACAATGGAATAATTCAGATTGTGGATGCTCATGTTTTTATAAAAAAAAGACAAATGGGCAAAACTTTAAAAAACCTGCAGAAAAAAAAAAACAACAAAAAACTTGCAGTTGTAAATGGAGCAAACAATTATCCTGCAGATTGGAAAATGCGTGGTTTTATTCCCATGTCACAATTATTCACCACTTTGTGTTTCTCTAGCACATATAATTCCAATACATTGAAGCTTGTGGTTGTAGTATGCCAAACTCTGGAAAAGTTCAAGTGGTTAGAACACCTTTGCAAGGCACTGTAAATGGTAGATGCTATGAAAACCTGCTCCGTTGTTACTCTGACCTGTTTTCTATGAACCAGATGGTGTCTTTGGAGATTATTCATCCCAAAGCTGTTTGTTGTTGCTAGCATCATATGCAAAATATAAATACAGTATATTTATTCACGTTTCATCTTTTGATATATTACAAAGTCATTCAATTTTCTTTTTTGTCTTTTAATAAGGCATCACAACTGCTTCAGAAGCATCGTTTTAAAAACTTTTTGGTTTATTGATTAGAACATTGTACGCATAGAGGCATTTGCTTTAGTTTGGAAACAGTTTACATTTTGAATAAAAGTGGAATTTTCTGCTTGACGCTTTTTGCAACCTCACTGAAATTTTCATTTCTCACCTAACAGATGGAGAGATTACCTCCAAGCCCATGGTGCTGTTCCTTGGACCCTGGAGTGTAGGAAAGTCCTCAATGATCAATTACCTCCTGGGCTTGCACGACAGCCCATATCAGCTTTACACAGGTATACCACGCAGCTACGTATTGCCAGTAAATCATATTAGTGGGTCATTTTCAGGGAAGCAAGAACATCTACAGGAAGATTAGAAAAGTAGTATTGACTCTCACAAATTGATGTTTATCTACATTTGCTGAATGTCTTTTCTTAGGTGAATGTTTGTCATTTTTATTGCCTGGAAAAAAAAAAAACATGTTGGCCATTTGCTTCACCTTTCTTGCTAACTTCTTCTCTTCCTTAATAACTTTGCTCTGCAGGAGCTGAGCCCACTACCTCTGAGTTTACTGTTATAATGCATGGGGAGAAAATCCGCTCTGTAGAGGGTATCGTCATGGCAGCAGATAGCTCTCGCTCATTCTCTCCCCTTGAAAAGTTTGGCCAGAACTTCCTGGAAAAGCTAATCGGCATCGAGATGCCTCACAAGCTGCTTGAACGCGTGACTTTTGTGGACACACCTGGAATCATAGAGAACCGAAAGCAGCAGGAAAGAGGTAATAGAGACAGTTCACTTTGTACATGCATATCAGAATGAAAACAAAAAGAAAGCATCTCTTGAACATTTTAGCATTTGTCTCAATATACCACAGACTTTGATATTGTTCATCGGGATTCTGTGTGAGAAATTGATCTTTTCCTAAAGACAACAAAAACAGCAACAGTGATTTTTCAAACGTCACAAAAGAGCTACAATGCAGAGCTCCCAGGAAGTCTCCATATGCACTTTAACACACAGACTACATAATTCTGACACCACACAAGAAAAATCTTCTGCCCAGAATAAGCAACAATAACAAACTCCAAAAACTCTAAAACCTATGCTGCAGAAAGAGAAGGACAGCATTTTGACATGCTGGTCAAAGCTGATGGGAATTATGATTTTTTTTTTAACTACATATTTATGCTTTTGTAAAGCACTGCACAATTCAACATAAATTATAACACAATTTTCTTCCTTCCACCCAGGTTATCCTTTCAATGATGTCTGCCAGTGGTTCATTGACCGAGCTGATCTCATCTTTGTTGTGTTTGACCCAACCAAACTGGATGTTGGTCTTGAGCTCGAGATGTTGTTCCGGCAGCTGAAAGGCCGGGAGTCACAGATCCGCATCATCCTAAACAAGGCGGACAATCTGGCCACGCAGGACTTAATGAGAGTTTATGGAGCACTCTTCTGGAGCTTGGCTCCACTTATTAATGTGACTGAGCCGCCTCGTGTCTACGTCAGCTCCTTCTGGCCGTATGATTATGCCCCAGACACTAGTCGGGAACTCTTCAAGAAAGAGGAAATCTCCCTCCTGGAGGATCTTAACCAGGTGATTGAGAACCGGATGGAGAACAAGATCGCCTTCATCCGCCAACACGCCATCCGTGTGCGCATCCATGCCCTGCTTGTGGACCGCTACGTCCAGACCTTCAAAGAGAAGATGAGCTTCTTCAGTGACCCAGAATTGGTCTTCCAGGAGATTGTAGATGAGCCGGACAAGTTTTACATTTTCAAATCGATTCTAGCCAAGACCAACGTCAGCAAGTTTGACCTACCCAACCGGGATGCTTACCGTGACTTCTTTGGCATTAATCCAATCGCCAACTTCAAGTCCCTGGCATCTCAATGTTCGTACATTGGAGGCTGCCTATTGGATAAGATCGAGAAGGCAATCACCAACGAGCTGCCCGCTCTCCTGAGCAGCATTAACTCTGGCAAGCAGCCCGGCCTGTCATCCTGTGAGGTCACTGGTTGTGGTGAGAAGCCAAAGAATCGCTACCGAAAGAATTGAGGAACATAAAATAACTTGTCAGGAGGAAGAATGGAGACAGAGGAGGTGAAGAGAAAGGGGGGGTCTGGTGGGAGCCAGCCCTGCTTTTGTCTGGACATTTGTATTGTTGAGGAGATATGGTGAGGATTAATGTTTGGGGGTGGGGGGGTTTGTCCTCAGGAGAATAAGCTGATTTGATAGTGGGAGAAGGAAGCCATCGTTCGATACGGCAGCTTAAGGACACTAATGCTGGAGAAATGAGAACATGTCTCTGATATCAAAGTATATTAAAACATACACCCTTCTCTCTCTTATGGCACAATATTTCTGGACTGTCTCACACCAGTGGGTTGGGAGGATACTAATGCAAGAAAATGGCTATCAACCAGCGAGTTGACATAAAAATGATGACCCCCGATGATACCAGTTCCCTTCTATGTGAATCAAACAAAAGGTGGAAACAGATGTATGTATAGTAAAAAATATATGAATTGCATTACAGCAGGTCAATTCCAAACTCTTCAGAGGTTGTTTTTGAAGTAGCCTTTCTTGTGGGTGCTATGCAAAAGCATTTATGTCTGTCTGATCAAATGATTATCTTTGCATGTTAGACTTTCCATTTTTATCTACCAGTATGTGTGCTTTTCTTCTGCCATAAAGAAAAAAAACCCTCATGCAGCATCAAACCAACCACGCATCAAACAAGGCCTTTTTTCTCTTAGCTTGGTATGCTCATCACTCTTGGTTTTTGATGATGAAGTAAGCAGAGGTCAGGGTTCAAGAGTCTTTGGAGCAGAGAGGATTCAGTCTGCTACTCTTCTTAAATATCTTTTTTTATTATTTCTGATTGTTTTGAATCTTTAAACTGCCAGGTTTTGGCAGAATTTTAAAAGTTTTTTTAGGCACATTTTGCTTCTCATTTTTGTTGCTGATTCATCACAATAGAAGCCGAAGAAGATGTGCTTGAGTTACAGCTGTCTTTTTTACATTTACTCTGCTGTTTTCTCTGCACTTTTAAAATATATATATTTATTGTTTTTCTGTATATTTATCCATCCATTGTCCTTCGCTGATCCAAGACCAGTTCATGTGGGTAACAGGTTCAAGAGGGGAACCTAAATTACTTCTCCTAACATTTTCTAGTTTGTTCCTGTGGGATCTTAAGGTGATCTCAGTCCAGGAAGGACATACAGTGCTTCCAGTAAGTTTTTGGTCTCCTCCCAAAGAAAACATCCAAGACCAATGAGAAATGCTCAAAGAAACATCCAAATAATATGGTCCAAACACTACATCTGACTACTTTCAATTTAAAGGAGCAGTGACTTTGCTTCCACCACATGACTGGATCTTCTTGGAACTCTCAACCATTATCTATAACTCAGAGTTGAAAATCTAGAGGGTTTTTTTAGCTGATCCTTTTCTTCCACACCACAGATTGGAGCAGTGGAGGCATTACTGCAGACAAGGGTCCAGTCCATCTTCTTATTTCCCACTGTGTCTGACTTTCACCCACGAAAAAGACATAGTGACACTTAAATCACTCTACTTAAGGCAAGGATTGAGCTACAACCCAAAGCAAGCAATCAACCTCTTCTCCAGGTCTCAGACTTAAAGGAGCTAACACTCTTCTTGGCCACCGTACACTTTGCTGCTGACCAGACCAATGCACGCTGAAAATCTAAGCAGAACCATATCGTGTGCAATAAGTAATATTTGTTCTACAAACACCTGACGCAGGACTGGTGACCATGAGCCGCACTGGTTAAGTTCAGTATGTAATGGAAACAGGAGAATACAAAATATAGCTTTTGCTTTGGTGATACCCCCATGATCTCCACAAAATACATGACACAAGCTTTTTAGAGGTCCACATAGCACATGTAGACTGGACAACCTAACTCCTATGACTCATTTAGAAGCTCTACAAAGGTTAAAAAAAATCTGTTCCTTTCTTCTGCAGTTTTCTGCTAAACTCTAAATGTAGATTTTCTAAAATGTTACAATTTGCGGATTGAATTGCTTGTAAAATAGCCCAAAGCAGGGAAATGCAAAACTGAAGATTCATGAATTTAGCCCTGACCTCTATGGAAACAAGATAGATTCTGACCTTGTAATCCCAAGAACATTGCAAAACTATCGTGTTCAAGTACAAATCCACTAGGCAGTAACAACCATCTGAGATTCAAGCATATTATATTCTGTTACCAACAGACTTAAGCTATCTGAAGAACAAGTAAGACAAGCCTGTCTTACTTGGTAGGAGAGAAAATCCATGCTGTTTTAAAAAGCCTTCACAGTCTGTGAAAAACAAAATCCTGAGTCCTGCAAGCGCTCTACACAGAAGGGAGCTGAGTGAGGAGACACAGGAACTTCCGGTTTACCTCACTAACATCTTTTACTGCTTTCCACATGCATACTTTGAGGCATGATGCAAAGAACAGCAAAAATAAAACTCGAACAAACCCGTTCATAGGCGAGTGCTCTGGATGTTGTCTTTATACTGCAGATCAGACACATGGCCACCAGAGGGTGCTGTTTAAAAAAAAAGTAAAAGAGAAACAGCCTTGGGAAATGCGCGCGGTTTAAGACAAAAGCTGGTTGTGCTTCTGACCTATTTCGGTGTCAGTTATATTCACCTTTTAGACGATGAATGGATGTGTGTCCTGTCGAATATAGTTGACGTTTCACCTTTTGGTATAACACTGACATTACCACTGGCCCAAGTTGTGGATGTTTGACAGAAAAGAATAAAAAAATATCTGATTGACTTGTTCAGAAAAAATGTTGTGATTATTCAGCTACAATGCAGAAAGATTTTAATAACCTTTTTTCCATTTGTTGAGTTTCTTTCTCACACTTCGCCCCTTAGTGTTTCAGGAAGAAAGTCTCAATTTGTATTTGAAATTAGTCAGTTATCATAAATTGGAGAGGAGTGTGGTTCAGCATGAGTCCATGCCACGGCATTCTGAGCTGCCACACTCATAAGCATCTGACTGTAAAATAATCCCCAAAAATATCAGGAGAACTATTGCAAATAGAACATCAAACACTAAGGTTTCACATGACTAAGCATATAAAACTTGCATAATGTGACTGTTTTAATATCCTTTGTAAAAAAATATTTTATTGTGGCTCACTTGAGAGTAGGATGAGTTTTGAGGCTGGATGACTATACTGCACTTTTACAATGTGGGTTTAATGCGTTTGATCCAGACCAGTCCAGTTTTCTGCAACTCTTAGATGTCAACACAGCTAATTCAGATATGGCTGAAATACATCAGCAAGCATTTCCTACAGAAGTCCTGTAGAATCTTGTGATGGCAACATAATGCTGTGGGACTGCTTTTCTTCTGTGAGTAAAGGTAAGTTGCTTGGAGTTGATGAGAAGTCAGGCAGAGTTCAGTATGGAATAATATTTATTAGGAATAACGCCTAATATCAACCCTTAATAACGTCCTCTGTTTGACACTGCTGGTTTAGATCAAAACCAGTCCAGATTTAAATCCAACTGCGATGATGCAGAAAGTCTTGAAAACTGATGCAAACCCCAGTGTTTACATGCGCAAAGCTAGGAGACCTGCAGCTTTATAATGCTCAAAGAGGTGTTTCTACAAAGTATTAACTCAGAGGGATGCTTGCAAATGCCAACAAATGTTTTAGATTTTTAAGCAAGAAAGGCTCAAGTCTGGAACAGCACAGCAAAGATATGGTCTGAATCTGAATTATTAAAATTACATAAGCATATAGTTGCATTTCTAATACACATCGATGAAATAAAATCCTAATTTAATCCTCAAGTACTGGTTGTTTTCAAATGATTATAGCTTTTTTCCTATTTTATGCAGCCTAGTTTCAGTGAACATTTGCTGCGTGTTAATAAGAAGTCCTTTCACAGTGCCCAAATGACAACGACGTTAATAACACGCTGGTTGAAATGTGTGACAAATCACTTTGTAAGTGACAACACTTCTGTTCATTTTCAAACTTAACCCCAGCAAATAAACTAGACTGTGAAAGCAGAAAACACACAATCTTTCTGATAAGCACTTAAACAAATGAATAAAGAACAAACAGTAAAACAGTCCTGTTTTTGTCCCACCTAATACACTTATTTAGATAGCTTCCTTGTAATTTCATTGGTATGCCTCTGAGTTTTCCCAGTCAATTTTGATTATCAAGTTTTTTAAATCCATTTAGCTATATTTATTAGTGCTCACTAATTGCACAGTTTTCCTTTCCTGTCATACTACTGCAGATGCATCTTTATTGTGAGGCTTTGTCATTGAAATCATCCTGATGCTTTTGTTTTTCCCTCAGGTACATGCATTTATTCTAGCCCTCCCTCCCAGTACTCAGCTGCTCTGCGTGTGGACGCCAAACACAGCAAACAGCAACGTCAAGCTAATGGGGACAGGGAAACCGGATGTCGGGCAGTTTCAAAATAAACCTATATAGTGTACATTATGAGGGTGTTGCAAAGTTATTAAATAACTTCTTTATTAGTTTGGGGAAGGGAATTGATGTTAAGGCAGTAGTAACAGCTGTCACTAATTTCTGCCGATTGATAACAGCTTGAAAAATAAAGCAAAGACTGAAATAAAGGAATAGCATTTCATAAAAATTAATCGCTGTTAGATTGAAAAGATAGACTGAAGATGCTTTACATGGCTATAAATAAAAAAAATAGTGCTGTTCGCAGAGCAAGTTGCTGCATGTCACTCAGTTATCTGGCAACCAATGTCTCTAAATTACAAAGTTTTGAGAGACAAAGATAAAGACAAGGATGCGCATCTTGTTATTGCAACAAAGGGTTCACGGGGTTGAACGAAAACGTATGCCACTTTTGTTGCGTTTTTTTTTTTTTTAATTTGTAAATAAATTTACACCATGCATAACTAGACTAATTTGATTATTGGTCATTCACACCAAATGCAAAAGTCATCCGCCAAACAGCATTTTTAATGTTCTTAAATAGAAAGGATCAAAGTATTTCATGCTGTACAATCCTTTGAGGATTCTTTGTCGGAAGAAAGTTGGAAATTATATGCACAGATGACAGTTTTATTGCTAAAGGAAAAAGCGGAAGTGGTTGTTGTTCCATCCTGAGGTAAATTTATCCGTGCTTGATTCTCTCTCGCTCGCTCGCATACACACACACACACACGCACACCGTCTCCGTGGTCGCGGCTGTCAGCGCTCTGAAGATGGTGGCGGCTGCCTCTCTGATCCCGCCACACAGTCGCTTCAGCTGCTCCATCGTGTCAAACATGGCCAGATAACCCCGAGAGAAGATATTCTCGTCGCAATGTGGACTCTACAGAGGGATTCAGAGAAAGGCTCTGATATCGTTTTAGTCTCGGGGTAGAGTGGAATCATTTAGCGCTGTATGAAAACACCATCTCCTGTCTGATTCAATTAAAGTGGTTGGATCGAGGCGGGGCTCTCTGCTTTGTAACCTGTGGGGCTGAGGTGTGGAAGGGGAGCGCAGGTGGGGACCTTTTTCATTAGCTCCACTCAGTCTCTGTGGGCTTTTTGTCTTCTTGCGTTCGCAAAGGGTGACCCAGCTTTTACAGGGAAACTTCAGACAAAAGGAAAGAGTCCTGCACTCCGCTCAAGGCTACAGTTTTATTTTCTCCCTCGCAGCTGCCAGGTGGACTCCCTGCGCTTCGGATATTTGGACTACATAATAGAGATTTTTCTTTCTGTCACGGCGGACTGGTGACATGCGGTGGGATTATACAAACGGAAAAAAAAAAAGAGAAAAGAAAATGAAAAGTGCTCCGTGAATGTCCTTAAACAGCGTGTTTGGGCAGGAGTCACCCACAGACACGCTTTTGCGGGGAAAAAAAATCCAAACATTCCTATTGGCTGTTTCCTCCACACGCGCCTGGACTTCTGCAAGAGCAGCTCGCGCAGAATCCTCTGTGAGTTTGGATACGGAGCAGCGGCGGAGACACCGGAGTGGGAAGGCAGGAAAACACGGGGCTCCGTGTGTGAGAACATTTGGGATTAGGCCCTGCAGCAAGAAGCATGTGGCATGCATTTAAAAGCTTTTGGTGTGTGTTTCTGCGCTCACGTCGCCTCAGGTGTGGGAAAAACCTACCGTCTTTTTGATCACAACTTGTAATATGAGAACCCGTAACTCTGCGGACGAGTTACTTTGCCTGAACTTTTGCCCCGTCCCGTAAACAAAATTTTACAGGAAGTATTGCTTTACATAGACAACGTGAGGAAGTGGGGGCTAAAGACTGAATGTGGACTGGGCATTTAAAGTACTCAGTGGGTTATCTAAAGAAAGCTCTTTAAAAAAAACCCTCTCAATTAGGCTTTCATAGTTTTCTAAGCCACTTCCTGCTCCTAACCTTTAGTTTTGGGATAGATTTACAGTTTTATGTAATATTTTCCAATGACTGGAGCAATCCCTGGGCTGCTTGGAGTGGAACAGAGCAGGCAGCGAATGAACCTTGCAGTCTCAAGTGCGTCTAAACAGACGGGAATGTAGAGGAATGCAGCGATTGACGTCAAGAGGGGCAATAATGAACTACTCAAAAACTTTCAATAGTCTTCTGGTATTGCTGCAACCAGAGTACTGAACTCATCTCCTTCTACTGTGTCCACATGCTTTGCCTTACTTCTCTACCTAGGTATTTGTCATGATTAACGGTGCCTTCTAATAGTTGTTTTCATTTCGAATAGAGCAATAGACAACATGGCATCTCCCCAGCATCAGAAACTGCTGCCACACAACACAGAAGTGAGCTGTGACTCGAGCGGAGACGGAGGCGTCTCGGTGCGAATTGGCAGCAGTGTCAAGCACAGGCACGGAGGAGGGCCGCTGGGCTCCATCGGGGGAGGCTTCATCGGGGCCACCAAGCACTGCAAGTACAGCATTTCTTCTAGCTGCAGCTCTGGCGAGTCTGGGGTGAGGAGGCCCATGGTGAAGAGTTTCCGTGCTCATAAAGGGATGCCCCAGCTATTCGAGAGGTCAGCGGGTCATTTCTGGGATCCAAAGTTTGACTCGTCTATCTTGGAGGAGGCCTGTAGAGAGCGATGTTTCCCTCAGACCCGGCGACGCTTCCGCTATGTGCTCTTTTATCTGGTGGCTGCCAGTTTCCTCTGGGGGTTGTATTTTGCTGCCCATCCTTCCTGCTGCGACATAGTTGTTTTTCTCCTCCCTACTGCTTCCTTCCTCATCTTCTGCCTTCTCCTCTTCCTAATGACTTTTACCAGGCTTTATTCCCGCTGCTACAACCAAGCATCTCTGCTGCTTATCCTTGTAACCTTCATATTGACCCTGGCCCCTCAGATTCAGACACTAGGATTCAGGAACCCAGATGGCATGTCACCTGATTTAGATCAAGAAGAATTCAGTGGCATGGGACCCATATACAACACGTCCAATGACAATCTTATTAGGGGTTCTAATAAGTTCCCCTGCCTTTCTCCTGTGGGCACTTTCTCCCTCTGTATTGAGGTTCTGCTATTGCTGTACAGCGTTCTACATGTTCGACTTTATGCATCTCTCATGCTTGGGTTGTTGTACTCTGTCTTATTTGAGACCCTGGGCTGTTTACTCCCAACTCAGGCAGGAGGGAACTGGAGCTGGGCCTTTTCATCAGAGCTGGAGATGTTCAGTTGGTTGGGTCCAGCCAAAGCCCTGCTTCATCTTTGCGCTCATGCGATTGGCATTCATTTGTTCGTTATGTCTGAAGTGCGCTCGCGCAGCACCTTTCTTAAAGTCGGACAGGCTATTATGCACGGAAAGGA